TGTATTAGACGCTCAAGACCACCTTGTTCTACTGGTTTACCACAAACAGTAAGAACCCTAACTTTACTTCATCAAGATTTATATTCAGATTTTCCTAACTTTGTGCTCGCGACAGGTCTTTGCAACCAAGATAGCGTTGAACATGCTTATTCTAAATTTCGAGGAAGATGCGGTTTTAATTTTAATCCTACCTGCAGAATGTATCGTTCAAGTTTTAGACACGTCTTATCAACCGATGATATTGGTACCAGTAAGCGAGGTAATGTTATTTTAAATGAAACTCACTCATCGGTTTCATTGAGTCCAAAACCTGTAAATACTAATGAAACAACATCGTTGGGTACAACTTAAAACAGTGAACAATCAAGTTTTTACCTAAATTTTAATCCACATGAAGAAAGTGTTATGTTACCTGAATGTGACTCTGCTGAAGTTAACAAAATTAATAAACTTTTAAATGTCGCTGAAATATTGCAATCAATTGTACCAATCGATTCTAGTACAGCGCCAGATTTCGAAGAAAAACACTTGTTCGAACAAAATTCGATTACATTTCTCAGTCGCTATGTATATAAAGCGTTGCTAATAAAAAATAGGTGTTCTGATTGTGAAAAAATTATGTGTAAGCTTTTGACAGAGCAATTAAGTGACAGCGAAATATATTTAGAAAAAAGGGAATATCCTCATTCAGATCCGAATTTGCTCAGCATCACTTATTTAACTAGAGCGAGTGATTACTTTGTTAAAATAATAAGTTGCCAGTTGTATGCTTTTAACGATCACCACGTAAATGTTTGGTATCGAAGAAAATTGCTTTTAACTTTGAAAGACATTGTCGAAAAATACACGAATGAGAAATTTCCTGAATGGTTTGATAAAACCAATAAATGTTACAACCACAGATTGTTTGCGTTAGAAAAGCTGTTATTAGTCAAAATTTATTGGAAGAGAAATAATTATAATCACAGTAAAAGGCATGATTTAGATAATGAGTTTGTCACTAAAAATAAGAAATTGCGAATCGTAAAACATCGATAACATGTTGTATATATATGTAAATATTCATTTTGTAGTCNAAAATTTATCGGAAGACAAGTGATCATAATCACAGTAAAAGGCATGATTTAGATAATGAGTTTGTCACTAAAAATAAGAAATTGCGAATCGTAAAACATCGATAACATGTTGTATATATATGTAAATATTTATTTTGTAGTCTTGAGGTAATTAAGTGTTATAGAAATATGGAAATATTTCGTCATTCTGGCATCTTATTTTTCAAATAATTTGTAACAAAATATTTGAGGTTCCATGTCGGTTTTAAGTTTAAAAACATTGATAATTTGGTTATTCGTTATTTAATGCTGCAAGGTAACCTTTGGGTGACGTTTTTAGTAAATATGGTTATAATATTAAATAATTTTGTTGAGTTACATATGTTAAATTCTATTACTAGTGCTAAATAAAGTAAGCGTACTGTATTTCATCGTAGAAGAATCGTACAGCAAAATTTCATATTTTAGTTTGCATTACAATTAATAGGATTAACGAATTCTTGAGTTGCTCGAAAGTATTCCAAAAAGTAGTATCAAACTTTTTTTAAAAATTATAAACAAAATACTTCTTTTTTTTNTGCACACATTTGGATTCTCATGTCTCCCTCACTCATCTCCCCTTACCTCTCCCCACGAGCCGAGCCTACAAGCCGCCAGCCAATAGAAAACGTGTGCATGGTTCCTCTGCTGGCCACGATGGATTGACGCTCAAATCAGCGCCGAAACATCGGCACACTCTCTTACATAGGCCTGTATACTTCAGTTACTACCTAAAGCACGTCTGCTGCTATATCATGGCTGTGTAACTTATGTTCTGCCAATAAAAACCATTAAAAAAAAAAAAAATTCAGTAAACACATTTTCTCAAGTCTTCTAGTAGATATTTCGTAGACTTCTAATGTCCCTAAAAAGGATACAAACGAGATAGGATGCGCTGCTGTGTGTGATAGGAGTCGTGAATTTAAATTTCTGTAAAAATTTTGTTCACTACACGATATTTATTATTTTTATAATTATGTACATAACGTATGCGTCACTGAGTATTGTATTATATTTTTCAAATCGAGTCGTAAAATAATTGCGTTGTGAAATAATTATAGTGCTTTCGGAAAACAATTCAGCTTACAAATCAGTACTTCAAATTATAAGAGTTACAAAATATCGCAGTTTTTATTAATTCGTTGTATTACTGAATCAGTAGTTTCCATTATTTAATTTGTCTTAGAGTAGTATTTTCAATAAATTCGTCGAGCACACAACAAAAAAAAAAAAAAAAAAAAAAAACGGGCGCGTAATGTGGCCACATTTAGTGTGCCGGTGTCAAGCCCGGAAAAACTACAGAGAGAGCGTGCACTTTTTTATAATAACTTATTACAGGTATTACCACAAACAAAGCTATAATGACTTTCTTTTTTTATAACTACTTTTTGATAAGCAGTAATTTAAAAAAATCTTTTTGGCCACTGGTAAAACAAAATACCTAAGTAATCATGAAAAAAAAGGGTTAAACATTTATAGTAATGATGTAATAATGAATTTAAAAAAATTGCTCCGCGTGAGATTAGAACCTGGAGCCTCAAAACTAAAGTCTTCGCTCATGCTGTAGCCATCTGAGCTATTAAAGCATATGGCAGGAGAAGACTAAAAGTTACATATGTTTATCGTAAAGTTTTGAAGCTTAAGATTCATTTTAAGCTTTATCGCATTACTACCGTTAAGCTATGTAATAATGGTGAAAAAGAATAAATGAATTTAATAATAAAAATATCAGCGCAATGGGGCGTTTGGGTGAAGGTATTCAGTACATTAATAAATAACATTACCTAGTTCAAAAAAATATTAGAGCGTACTGTGTCGTGGTGAACGCCTTCATTTATTATTCAATAATTTCACTTATCATAAAAGTGAAGAACAATTGAGCGCACTGGATTATTGGGATAAAGGCGTTCGTTTATTAATGAAGCAAAATAATATTTTAATTGCGTTGAGCTTGTCATTTTTTGAAAAATGAAAAAAAAAAATTGCTAATAACCTGACAATTATGTTTTTGTTCATTATAGTTGAACGAGTGATCAACTGCATTTAAAAAGCTTATCTTTCTTTCAGGGAGGAAAAGCGAGAAAAGTGATACGCACAGCGCTTTTCCGTATAAGCAGTGTACAACTATAGCTATAGATATATAGCCCGTTGTATGCATATACATACAGGTTTAGCTTCTCCTCTCTCCATCACCGATGCACACATTTGGATTCTCATGTCTCCCTCACTCATCTCCCCTTACCTCTCCCCACGAGCCGAGCCTACAAGCCGCCAGCCAATAGAAAACGTGTGCATGGTTCCTCTGCTGGCCACGATGGATTGGCGCTCAAATCAGCGCCGAAACATCGGCACACTTTAACCTCAAAGTGGATCATGGATGACTTTGTTAAAAATATTTTAGTGAGTTGGAAATTACAATGTCTCACTAATATTTTTTCATGAGAGTAAAATTATTCAATTACTTATTTATTTACATGAGATAATACCGTACTCAGTGTTCATATTAACTTACCTAACGCAGTAGAAGAATATTTTACATGGCCAACATACTTGAGCGTAGGTTTTAGACAGACGTGGTACGGGAAAAAACCGTACCAAGCTATGAAAAACTCATACTAACTAAGTATAGTAGAGGATTTTCAATGAACTCGGTCTTTCCGTGAGGTTTTAGACGGACCTGGTACGGGAAAAAACCTTACCAAGCTACTAAAAACTCGTAACTGAGTGTAGTAGGGGATTTTCAATGAAAAAGGTCCTTCCGTGTGGCAATCTCCCTACTTATCTCTGGCCGGACATATCTGGCTTTTCACGGTCACGTCCAGCCAAATACGTTCATGTCCGGATTTGTCCAGCTTTTTAGAAATTGACCGCCTATATCAACGACAAACAGACCAACGATTAATCACGCATCGCCAAAATACCATCTGTTAAGATACCAAATAGTCGATAACGATCAATGTGAATGTGAAAGGGACCAGGGTACCTCTGAACAAATTTTCTGGTAATCTAAATTATTTGAAACGAAAAAGAAATATATGAATAAAGAATTTTATCGAGTCCAGGCCCTGGTCCCTTCTCCATATATAAAATCTATAACATCTAGCCAACACTAATATGTAACCAATAATGTAATAATGTGCCTTACTGAAACAAGGCTATGTGTATTGGTTAACAATAAAGCTAAAAAATAAATACACTACGTCAGCACGTACTTATTAAAAAAAAAAAAAGAAGAAAAAAATCAATACTCTCTACAATAGACCCTAATGTAATACACATCATTTCAAAATTTATTTAGAACATCGACATTTGCATGTAATCAAAATATAAACATCTGTACATAATTGTAGCTCCTAATTCTTCTCAATAATCTGGCCACTCTAGTTTCATTTACTGGCATTGTAGAGACTCAATTGCAAAATCAAAACAAAATTATAATAATAATTTAATCGAATCTAGCTCTAATTTCCTGCATTTATTGTATTATACTTATTTACTCACATACTTATATCAATGTAAAATAGTGCTAAAATCTGTATACTTCAGTTACTACCTAAAGCACGTCTGCTGCTATATCATGGCTGTGTAACTTATGTTCTGCCAATAAAAACCATTAAAAAAAAAAAAAATTCAGTAAACACATTTTCTCAAGTCTTCTAGTAGATATTTCGTAGACTTCTAATGTCCCTGAAATGTACCTTTGGGAAATTTTGGAGGTAAAATTTCCCAAAAATGTCTTTTGGATAGACATTAGAAGGCTCAAAGACATCTATAAGAAATCTTGAGAAAATGTGTTTAATTGGAAGCAAATACGATTCATTTTCGAAACTCAGCATCAACAAGAAAGATAATTGGAGATATGTTTAAGCGTATAAATGTACATTTACACAGATATCGACAACTAATTCATAAGGTCTTTGAATGTCTTACTGGTTGTTGACAGATCATTACTACCAAAAACATAAAAAATTAAAAAATCGTGGACATGAAGAATTACACTTGAAATTATTTACCTGTTGATACCCCTTGACGAATTTGAGTCTCAAAATGTGTACACCAACAATTATTACAAAAGGCGTGCCCACAGTTTAATGTACTAAAATTATCTGTAGGAAAAGTTGTGCAGCAAACTGAACATATATTATTTCTTATCTTACATTGAATATTACAAGATTGTTCAATTAAATCAGTGAGTTTAAAATTTGAGTAACAAGTGAAATTTATTTTACTATCCTGATATTTCAAGAGAATGTCTTGTAATGCCCATTCATGTAAATGTAAAAAAAGCTTAGCTATGGATGGAGTAATTTCTAAGTGAGCTCGCAACAACTCAACACTCTCATTTAATAGTATTTCCACATCTTCCACTTTTAAACATTCATATACAGCATATTCAGGATCTTTAAGATACGGACTAACTTCTATATCATTGTCATTTTCTTTATCCCAAGGCTGGGTATTATAATAATCTTCATAAGCAGTATCACCACAATCTGAATCAGAACAATCCATATCACTTTCACATTCAACAAGTTTAGACATGATTCAATGTTTAAAACATGCTTTTAGTTTACACTTATTCTGCACTTACTCATGCTCCTTAGTGCCCCAAAACGACGCACAAAGAATTTTAAGTATCTAAATGAATCTAACAGTTCCATGTGTGTATGCATTTACATTTATATATGTATACACATATATGAATACACGGACATATGTGTATGTATGGACATTCATATTTGTAATACATTATTTTTATCCATTAAATTATACTATTAAAATTTTTGGTTGAAATCAGTAAGATGAAAATTTAAGTGCATGGTTTTCAGGTATGTTCAGAAAATCACATCATTATTACAAAGTATTAACATGAAGTAAATAAGAATTGAAGCTTAATATCGTTTGGACGTCAATTTTAAACAATTAAAATTTGCTGAAGTAATGAAGATGTACAACAATTTGCATCTATACAACACAATTACTTGAATATAAAAAATATCAGCATTGAAAAGATTAACAAACACCTATATTCTTGATTTATTTCGACTAATTAAATATAAGTCAACATGTAAAACACCAATGCATCATCATCAAGCACCGTGGAGTTCTTTACTAAAAACGTTCTCCAACTTTTTGAGATTTTTAAGTTTAATAATAATAATAAACATATTCTTTTGACTTCATCAGAGTAAAGGTCAACTAGCATGGCACTATATAGGGGGGCAGTTGTACGGCCCACGATCCATTCGACAAACCCAGATAGCAATCAATAGATTGGGGGTGTAAGGTGTAAGTGTAATCCACAATAGCCGCCGGTAGCTACATGTGTAAGACGTGACAACGTTGCGTGGTTGGGGGCGCTACTGTCGATTTACTGGTGATGTGATCCGCAATCCCGCCAGCAGTAAAGCAGACGACGTCGGTCTACTTGCTCTTTTTCGTGACATTTTCTGAATGTAAACAAAGCATATTGTGCTAGACGTAAACAAACACACGGACCAAAAAAAATAATTTCAAGTGCCAAAAACAAAAATGAAAATAACAGCTTTACTGCTGGCGGAATTGAGCGGGATCACAGCAAAAATAGAAATAACAGCTTTACTGCTGGCGGGATTGCACGGGATCACAGCAAAAAAGTCACGAAAAAGACCAAGTAGACTGACGTCGTCTGCTTTACTGCTGGCGGGATTGCGGATCACATCACCAGTCAGCGTTGGGTTAGGCAGATTCAATATCGGAACTTTTTCCGTAGGTCGTATATATAGCTAAACGATCTATAGGGAGAACGTTCCGTCGAGCAGACAGCACAGCAGTGAAAGGGTATTGCCAAAGACATACGCGGAAATTCAAAATTGGAATATTAATAACACAAGTGCCTATCACCCAATGACCCGGGGCGCTAACTGGCCACTCTGTTAGATAAATAATTATTAAAATAACACAAGTGCCTATCACCTCATGACTCGGGGCGCTTACAGGCTACTATTGAATAATAAATTATCAAGGAATTACAAAAGCGCCATTTCAAAAGATCTTTGTCGTACTCGATAGGCAATCAAAATTGTGATATGTTTACGTATGTTGTCGATCAACTTTTTATTATTTAATAGTGTTGTGAATAAGTGTCCTGGATCATCAGGAAAAAGGTGCTTGACACATTTATTAATAATTATTTCTTTACTAGATTTGCAATAAGCGCCCCAGGTTATATGGTGATAGGTGCTTGTGTTATTAATAAGTATTTATTTAACAGTGTTGCCAGTTAGCACCCAGGGTCATTTGGTGAAAGGGTCTTGTGTTATAAATAATTATTCATTTAAAAGAGTGGCTAGTAAGCACTCTGGGTCATAGGGTGATAGGCGCTTGTGTTATTAATAATTATCCATCTAACAGACTGGCCAGTAAGCGCCTAGGGTCATTTGGTGATAGGCGCTTGTGTTTTTAATAATTATTTATTTCAAAGAGTGGCTAGTAAGCGCCCTGGGTCATTGGGTGATAGGCGCTTGTATTATTTTAAATTATTTATTTAACAGAGTTGCCAGTTAGGGCTCCGGGTATTGGGTGATAGGCACTTGTGTTATAATATTACAATTTTTAATTATCATGCGTCTTTGGCAATGCTTCTTCACTGCTGTGCTGTCTGCTCGACGGAACATTCTCCGAATTCGGAACTTTTTCCGAAGGGAAAAAGTTCCGATATTGAATCCGCCTTACCCAACGCTGATGGTTCATCTGCTGGCCACGATGGATTGACGCTCAAATCAGCGCCGAAACATCGGCACACTCTCTTACATAGGCACTGCTAATCTCCCTACTTATCTCTGCTAAGCATTTCGTGGTCCTAAGTTACGTAAGTCGTGGTAACACCATATCATCGGGTGACGCTACTGCCCGATCAGAAAAAAACTTCAGCTGCCGAAGCTGAATGATGTGGCCTATGCTTAACTTACTTAACTTTTCTTTACACAACCCAAAATGCCAGAAGATCGCTATTGATTTCACTTTTATATTTGCTACTGTTTCAAGCACCCCGTCGCACCGTGGGGGTGAACGCACTTTTTTCGTTCAAAAGTTTCTAAAGATCACAATTTTTTACTGATTTTACTAAATTTTGTTTTAATTTAAAGGTAAGATGATTTGTAAGTTATCTGTGGTAGTCGAATTTTAATTTTCGATCCCAAAGGTTTTCTACCTAACCTTAAAAGTCGAAAAATCGTAATGTTTTCTGATTTAAACGTTAATATCATTCATTAGGAGACCCATCCAGCAATAAAATTGCGAAACAGTATGTATTTAAAACAAATAATTTATTAAAATATTTGAAAAGTATGAATCCAAGATGGCATATCCAATATGGTGGACCAAAATTCAAAAAATTGTTTAATCCTGGAAAAAATAGTAACTCAAGGGTTTTTGGATTCGCTTATTAATAATCTGCTATGAAAATCTGCAAATCAAAAATGGCCGATTTAATATGGCAGACAAAAATTGAAAATTATTTTTAACCTTAAAGAAAATATTTACCCGGGGGTTTTCGGGGTCGCTGATTCATATTATGCTATTGAAATTAGCAAATCTAAGATGGCCGATCAAATATGGTGGACGAAAACTAAAAAACTTTTCCAATTCTAGCCAAAACTTTTTTATTCGGGGGTCTTTGGGGTCACTGATTCGTGATCTATTTTTGAAGTTTGTTAATTCAAGATGATCTAACCAATATGGTGGAAAAAAATCGGCAGATTCCTCCGATCTTGGATTGATATTCTTACCGGAGAATTTTTGAGATGGTTGACTATAGGCATTTTGTTATCATGCTCTCAATTCAAAATGTGAAACTGACTTTGCCATATACAATAGATTTCTGAGTTGATTCTAGGATAAGTTGTGTGAAAATTAATTAGTGAAAATATTTTTTTTTCTCAGATCTATGACTTTGAATGGGTAATTATTATTAGCAAACAACAGGTGTAGTATCATATAACGTACCCGAGATAAAATGATTATTTTCTTTTTTCTAGTTTATATGTAGGAAAAAGTAATTAGTTTTTAGCCCTTAGTAGACAAGCTATAGCGATTCCGGCCCAGGTGGGCTCGAGTCGCCAGGCGATTTCCGCGGCGAGTGGCCCAGCTCTTTTCGGGTGGAGTGGTCCCTGCTGCTGCCAATGGGCGAGCAGAAGCTGTTGCTTCCTCGCATTCCTTGTGCGTGCGCTGCTTGAGATTGCGTGCGCCACCTGCAGCGCTGCTTGAGTTTGCGCGCGCTGTTTGAGTTTATGCGCAATGTGCATTAGCGCCTGTAGCACCGTGTGCGCCAGCTGGTGACGTGCAACGCAGTTTGATTTTGCGTGAGATGCAATGTGCATAAGTCGTCTGCAGCGGTGACTTGCGCGCGCTGTTTGAATGTGCGAAATCATGTGCAGCTTGTGCACGTGGTAGTTATATGCATACAAAAACTTTTTTTGTGTTAGCGAGCGCGTTGCATGATAATGTAGGATGTGGAGTGGTAGGGAAATAATTGTTAAACATTTTTTGTTTTATTTTTAAAACCAGTTTATATTAAATGAAAAATGTACATGATTTACAAAACGATTTTGTTAAACATGTTGTTCTTCAAATACATAAAAATTTGTTGGAAAAAATGTATCAGTATTATTTATATTATGTGCTTCGCTTAACCAACCACGTCGTAGCCGGTCATCTATGTAGGCTGTTGCTTTTGTCGTTTAAGGCGTTCATATGCTGCATAATATATATCGCTGTCTTATTGATGACTTAATTGATATGCTAGTCAGAAACCTTTGTTTTAATAAATGTGCTTTATGTACGGCACAAAATAGTTTTTTCTTTTCAAAAATGGTTTTGTCCGTGTGTAAGGCATACTGGAGAAGAGACTGTCTTCAAAGTCTTTGAAACGACGATGCATTTGGGACAAATCGTGAACTTCACGTGTCAGGTTTGAACTTATGAACTTAGCTTCATCACTTCCGTAAGTATAAATTATTTTTAGGTTCTTGGCAATAGTTATTAGATGATACTTTAAGTCATTTAAAGTAACATCACCCTCAAACCATTTGATTCCGTAGACTTCTACCGTCTGGTGATTATTATGCTTTTTTATATCTAACGGTAAATCATTGAAATTGCAAGGTGGCTTGATTATCCAATGGCCAACAACGTTTCCTTGCAAGGGAATCACTGAAAATCTTGGGGTATGAAGTATTTGTCAGCATTATAAGAGCCGTGTGATAAAATCCACGATGTGTTTAATCGGTATTTAGAAATTGTGAATATTTAAGTTGAAAATTATTTTTTTCTAATGTATACTTTACTTGACGAGGTTCTCTTCTCCACCGTTGCTGTTACTACTCGTGTCACATTAGTGAAACTGAGATAATAAAAAGATACAACTTGTATTTATAACTTCTCTTTATCGGAGCTATTGACATCTGCTCACCCACAGCTCTGCGTAAGATTGCGCAATCTCTCTCCATGAGCAAGTATGAGACGTAGCTTTCCTTCTCTCTGAGTGCTTGAGCCGCTCTTGCGATTATAATCGGTCCGTTAAATAGCTTAGTAGCACAACTTTACTTTTAATAGTTATTTTTATATTCTTATTCTTGAATTATAATTTACATATTCTAACAGTTCTTCATTATTATTGGCAAAAAATTTTTTAAGTTGGGAAAAACTACTTTATACATCGAACTAAGCACATTT